AGATATGACAAGTATAAACAAAGCAATTATAACTCACAAGCTAATATAGTGTCACACCCCCAAACCAAGGATGGCGGAAACGTCCGGGTGTGGAGGACTTCATGTATAGTATCACAACAACGAGTATAATAGTGCTCAAAGTAAATACAACCATCATAAATATAATTGAAAAAGTTACATCATAGTAAGTTTACATGTTTCAAAATCAATTACATTATGATGACAAAATGAACTGTTTGACGATTTAACGTCCCATCCTCAAAATGTTGTTGTTTTCCTGTTTCACTGATTTATTGAGAATACAAGTAGTTTTGAAAAGTATCAACATCTAAGTTGGTAAGTTCATAAGAGTTTTGATTGAGGAAGAAACTGTTTTCCTTATAAAATCGTTTTCTTTATTAAGTATAAAATGAATGCTCCTATGTTATGCGATAATGTACCCTAGAAAGATTCGTAGATTCCTTTTATAATTACCCAGTGTATATAAGTTATATAACATTTAAATTAAATAAACCGTCGAATATAATGGGTCTACCCTAGGTCCACAACCAAACAAGGAACAGGAAGTAAGGCGGGCCCTCCAATTCTAAGTCGATTATGACTACATTCTTATATAACTCTAGCATATACACTTAGCAATTATAGCTGAAACCTAACAATTCTAGATGAATGTAGTTTTGACAGAAATATGTTTCCAAAGAAAATCTAATATTTTCCTTATAAAAGTCATGTAGTCTTAAGTGTCAGGACCGAAATGTACAAGTATTTTTCCATACATAAAGTAATTTATGCAAGTTTAAATCGACATAAACTCGTTTAATTTAAAAGTAAAAACCTTTAAATCTCATGTTTTGTTAATACCACATGTGAGTTATTATAACCATACTATGACTCAGACGGCCTCGTAATACGACGTTCTTCAGGAGTCGCAAGTTAAATGACACTTGTCACCTCAGACTTGCCGGTCTAGTTGTTGCATGCAGCTCAGGTATGGGTTTGTCAGAACCAATATAGATCTATACACAACTATCACGTTCTCCCTACAAGAGACTCTGGTTACAATTTACAAGACTTTTGATTTCGTTACTTGGATGTAACGCGAAGCGAATGTCTCACAAATTTATTCATTAATAGATTTACGTGAATTGAACTGAAACATTTGGTAAATGAGTTTGAAATGTAAATGATACATAAACTATACCTATTATAGTTTATCCAAAACGTTTGTAATGTAAAAGAACCCCTTTTATGAAAATACATTAGTGCTATGAGTCCATAAACTATTACTATTATTTAGTATATGAAAAACCCATTTGTTTTGAGAGTAAAACCTCTCTCATGTAGTAAAAATCCATAAATTATGCCTATTATAGTTTATCCAAAACGTTTGTAACGTAAAAGAACCCTTTTTATGAAAATACATTAGTGCTATGAGTCCATAAACTATTACTATTATTTAGTATATGAAAAACCCATTTGTTTTGAGAGTAAAACCTCTCTCATGTAGTAAAAATCCATAAATTATGCTTATTATAGTTTATTACATGTGTTCGTAATGAATGAAGAATCCTTATCATAAATGACTAAATTTCAGTTTATGATGATAAACTAACAACAAAATACATTCAATAATTAGAATTTAGTGTTATACACTTTGCTTAACATACTACAAAGTGTTATGAAAGTTATAAGCTGTTAACTAGTTTTTAACCGTTCTACACTGTTTTAGATAAATCATACAAAAATCATACGAAATCGAAAACTAAATCCGTAAATTCTGAGAGTTCATAAAATGTGTCTAGTTTATTCATAATTTTTATTATGATTTTTAGAAGTCTTTAACTTGTGTTGAAATATTAATATTCACAGACTGGTCTGAATTTATTTCCGAAATGATAGGCAGTTTTGTAAAAATCACCATAAATTGTAAAAAAATTGTATGGAGATGTTTAAGTAGTCATTTTAAAGATATGAACCTAAAATATTTTCACCTAATACAGTTTTGAAAACTAAAATGTTTAAGTTGACCAAAATAGTCCGTGAATGGAGTTAAACTTTTATGATGAAAGTTGTTGGGTGAGTTTAGTTGTGTTCTTGGTGTTTTAACTTGTATTCCGCCGTTAAAACTTAAGAAAAACATGAAAAGATAGGGTTATGAACTCACCTTATGTGTTCTTAGTGGATGTATGTTGAAGAAGAGAAGTGTTCTACTCAAGAACACTAATAAGATGCCTTGAAGATTCGAAGATCTAACATGAATGTGATGATGTTTGTGTAAGATATCCATGATTTGAGAAGAAAGAAGTGGAATAATCATGTGGAGGGTGATAGTATTTACCATAAGTAGAAGAAAAGCTTAGAAGAAGGCTCTTGAATCACGAATTTTAGTGAGAGAATTGAGAGAGAAAATGGGTTTAATCTTTGGTGGAAGAATAAGAAAATGAGAGAGTGTTAGGAGAGAGGATAGATTTCAGCCTTAGACAAAGAACGGGGTTGGGAAATGATGGGAAAAGGACGATGAATGACTAGGTATGGTGAGGGGGTGTGGGTGGTTACTTGTGTCATAAACTAAAGTGAAGTCAACATTCCACCTCAAGTACTTCACCCACTTTTCTTGGATAAGATTTACACAAAAAACGGGGGAAATAATGAAATACGGGGCTTTAAATGTTAAAATATAATTTTGGGTGAAAATACCGTGTTAAAATAATTAAAAATGGACCTAAAATGCAAAACTAGTCGAAAACCGGGTGAATTTGGCCGACCTGCGAGACCTCTCGGTTCTGGGTCGAGGTTCGGTCCCTAATGCTGCTGGGCCCGAAGGCGAAATGGAGCGAAGGTGGAAGGAGCAAAGGCAACGGGTTCGGTCCGAAGGGGAGGGTTTGGGTTCAGCTCGCAGACAGCTTCGGGTTCGGCTCTTAGTACTTCGGTTCTTAGCAGGTTCGGTCCCTATAGGGGACCTTCGGCTCTAAGAGGGTTCACCCATTAAAGAGGGGTTTCGGGTCCTTAAGGCTATTTTACCCGTTTTTACCCCGTTTCAAGCGGTTTTTGACCCGGTTAAGGTTCGGGATGACCCGAAAGACTATAAAAAGTTACAGAAACTTTTGAGAGAGTTTTGGAAGAGATTTGGGAGAGATTTCACATACTTGGAGAGATTTCTCATACTTAGAGAGATTTAGGAGAGATTTCACATACTTAGAGAGATTTCTCATACTAATAGAGATTTGGGAGAGATTTCACACACTTAGAGAGATTTCTCATACTTAGAGAGATTTGGGAGAGATTTCACATACTTGGAGAGATTTGGGAGAGATTTTAAATAGAGTGAAAGAGATTGGGAGAGGCTTCTTTTGTGACCTTTTTGAGTGCTTGGCTTCGCAACGCAAGGTCCGTAAGCCTCGTTAAGCCATGTTTAAGGACCTTACACACTCCCAATGAGTATGCAACATTGTTTTATCGGTTTGGTTTATTACTTACCACAATTTTAGGTTAAGGAAGTCTAGATATACGAACTTTTCAATTGATGATTTCTCATTAGAATAGCGAGTTGTGTAGTAATTACCTACGTAAGCCCTAGTACACAAGGGTTAATTGAGTCGACCGGTTTGACTTGTTGACTTTAGTTGACTTTGACTTGACCGGAAATTGACAGTTGTCACATATAGATTCTTCTTTCAGACCTATACATTAAAAGAGAAGGAAGTTCATACTTGAAATGAATCAAATCATACAAGAGGACGTTGAAAAAAATCTTAAGACATGAATGATTAAAGAAGTCAAATTCCCAAGGTGGTTAGCCAACGTGGTGGTAGTACAAAAGAAGAATGTCAAATGGAAGGTATGTGTGGACTATACAGATCTTAATAAGGCTTACCCTAAGGATCATTTCCCTTTGCCACACATCGACTCTATGGTAGATGCCACAGTAGGCCATGGATTAATGAAATTCATGGATGCCTCAACCAAGTTACACCAAATACAAATGTAACCATCTGATCAAGAAGATATTGCTTTCATAACCCCTACATGTATATATTGTTATATCGATATGCCCTTTGGTTTAAAAAATACAGGTGCATCATATCAAAGATTAGTAAATCGTATGTTCAAAGATAAAATGGAGGACACCATGAAAGTATACATTGATGATATGGTGGTCAAATCCAAAAAAATGAAGATCACCTTAGGGATCTTGAAGAAGCTTTCAACATATTGGATGAATACAACATGAAGCTAAACCCATCCAAGTGCCACTTTGGAATGAAGGCATGCAAGTTCCTAGGTTACATGGTCACTAAGAGATGAATATAAGCAAGTCTGGAGCAGATCAAAGCCATAGTCAATCTAAAATATCCAACTTCAATTAAGGATATCCAAAGATTGACAGGAAGAGTGGCAACTTTGAATAGATTCATCTCAAGATCTTCAGAGAGGTGCAAACATTTTCTATAATATCTTAAAGAAAAAAAAGTTTGAATGGACTGAAGGACACGAAGACGCCTTCCAATAACTCAAAAAAATATTTAAGTTCAACACCCCTGTTGGTGAAACCACTAGATAGGGAACCACTCCTCTTATATCTTTCAATTTCATCCAATGTCGCTTGTGCAATCCTAACCAAGGATCTTGATGAAGATCAACATCCTATTTATTATTTAACTAAAAGTCATTTGAATCCTAAAACTAGGTACTCTCACCTTGAAAAAATAATATTGGCACTTGTTACAACTTTTACCAAACTAAGACATTGTTTTGAAACTCATACTATACACGTCAAAACTAACTATCCTATTAAGAATGTCATGAGAAAACAAAAAATAACAGGTAGAATGGCTAAGTGGTCGGTGAAGCTCATAACATATGACATTAGATACAAACCAACACATATGATTTTGCGCCGCTAGCTCTTTATGAATGTCAAATCTATTTTTTTTTAAAACAATATCTATGTATCTAAAAAATATAAATACACGACTCGTTAGACTATGTGTAAAAGTTCTACCACCTATTCTTCAAGAGCACTTTAGTAAAGGGAAGGAAAGAACAATCATTTTTAAAACATTTCTTTTTATCTTAATGGATCCGCGGACACACATCAGATCCAACTCGACCCGAATCGGCCGACAGTAAGTAGTACTCAGTATTCCGTAGTTTCACCAGTGACCAGTCAGAGATCATCGGAGCAATCTCTGTTCTTCCAATCCAGAAACGTGTAAAGGTAATATCTATGATCTAACTGCATTGCCGTCGGGTCTTGTTCATATCTTCAGATTTAACTTCATTATTCCTTTCAATTTTCTATTCGAGAGAATTTAGGATGTCTCCTTTTTAATCTACAGATTTAGTTGTTCACAAGTAAGATATGGATTCATCAACTGCGTTATACAATCAGCTTAAGGTATGCATTCGCCTCTTCTTTTCCACGAATATAATACACTTGGTGTGTTGCAATATGCAAAATTATGCAATATCCTCCGTTTTCTCACTCACAATTACTCGGTATCATGTAGAAGTTTTTTGTGCGAGAACGAGTCACCCGTCACTTATGATAAATTGATTCCTTTTGTTGCACAATTCGAGATGACAATTTGAATTGACTGTATTCAGCGTTTACCCCTAATTATTGAGAGTGGTATTTAACTATTTATTGTACATTGTTCTTCAATCTGGTCTGCAACATAGACGAGATCTAACTGGGAAGCCTCGATACCCAAATCAGTAAATGCAAATCACTTTAGTAGTGGGAAGGAAAGAACAATCATTTGGACTAATAGTAAATGTCTTTTATAATGGCCTTTAATGGATTTATCTCACCTTGTTCATTGCTCTGTGTTTGACGTAAGTTTCTTAGCAAGCATTAGGGTTAATGACTCGTTGCTACAACCATTACAGGGAGCACAACCATTCTTTGTGTTAGCTGGTCCCAATGTGATTGAATCTGAAGAACATATTTTACATATGGCCAAACAAATCAAGGCTATCACTTCAAAGTATGTTCTTTAATCTTTTATCTGTAATCTGTATATAAGCATTTACGTTTGAGTTTGACAGATATAATACAGATCATTTTTTTTTCCAGACTTGGATTGCCATTAGTTTTTAAGTCAAGCTTTGACAAAGCTAACAGAACCTCATCAAAGTCTTTTCGTGGGCCTGGATTAGCTGAGGGATTAAAGGTAATGTACTCCATTCCACTAATTTCACAATTTAAAAACTGTGTTATTATATTAATAAGATAAGGTCAAAATCTTGTTAAACTGTGTTCATTTGTGTTGCTACAGATCCTTGAAAAGGTCAAAGTCACATATGACTTGCCCATAGTGACTGATGTACATGAATCTAGCCAGGTAATCACATGTAATCAACCAATCAGAATTCAGAACATACTTTAAGAATGTCAAAAGCAGATACATAACTTTATATAGCTATATTGATTATTGAATTTTATCAGTGTGAAGCCGTTGCCAGGGTTGCAGATATAATTCAAATTCCAGCATTTTTATGTCGACAGGTAATATTAATTATTAAATATTAATCCATCTCAATTGTTTCTATAAACTAATACATTTTATCTTTTTTTTTTTTGTCTGGTAGACTGATCTCCTAGTTGCAGCTGCTAAGACTGGCAAAATTGTAAATATTAAGAAAGGCCAGTTTTGTGCTTCCTCTGTAAGTTTGTGTCATGCTTAGTCAACTTCATTGACCAAATGGTCAATGATAAATTTCTGATGCGTTGACTTTTCAGGTGATGACCAACTCATCAGAAAAAGTCAGATTGGCTGGAAATCAAAATGTTATGGTTTGTGAGAGAGGAACCATGTTTGGTTACAGTAAGTCTCAGTCTTACTTTTTTTTTTTTTTTTTTAATTATTATTATTATAGTTTTTTTGACTTTACAATTAACAATCTTTTGTAGATGATTTAATCGTTGATCCACGCAACTTTGAGTGGCTTCGAGAAGCTAATTGTCCTGTAGTAAGTGCATAACAATAACATTGATACAACATAAATTTGATATTATAATATTTGTACTAAAGTACAATGTTAATTTTATATACTTTCAGGTAGCGGATGTGACACATGCGTTGCAACAACCTGCTGGGAAAAAGCTGGAAGGTGGTGGTGTTGCAAGTGGAGGTCTCCGGGAACTAATACCCTGTGTTGCAAGGACAGCTGTCGCTGTGGGAGTGGATGGGCTTTTTATGGAGGTATGAAATAAGAATACGGTTTTTAAATAGCATTTGAGGTCTGTAGTTTACGGGTTTCTAAGGGCATATTTGTAAAATCAGGTGCATGATGACCCGCTTAATGCTCCGGTTGATGGTCCAACACAATGGGTAAATTTCACGACGTTAAAAAATAGTTTTGTTTTATTTATTTAATCATGTTTCTTGATTTGGTGTTTTGGTCTTGTGAATAGCCTCTGCGACATTTGGAGGAGCTTCTAGAAGAGCTTGTGGCAATTGCTGTAAGTTTTAACCACATTTGGATTCGTTTTAGATCACTATGTTTATTTGAGTTTTATTTTGACTTTTTTTTTTTTTTTTTTTTTTTTTTGATATTTGATAAAAGAGGGTTACCAAAGGGAAGCACAAGTATGATATTGACCTTACTCCATATCGTGAGTAAGAAGTTGTGGAGGCTGGTTTGCCACGTGTGTAATTGATAATAAACACACTCATGCTCGAAGATTTATGATTTATGATAATGCTGTTATTTCTGCTGTATTTGTGCCAAGGGTTGTGTAAAATTTGAGCCTCTGTATTGTAAGCATGACTGTTCCTTACATTATTTTAGCTACAAAAGTGAAAGCAACGCACTTGATTTGTGTAGGAATGTTAAAAAAAACTTGGAGAACAAAAAAATGAAAGTACTTATTTGCTTAATACAAATGAGTACTCTCCACCACATTTTTGAGTGTGTTGACACCCGTATACATTCCAGTTACACTAAAAGTATTAACATGTATTTATGTGATTTGAGGATTATTATTGGTTAAGTTTGGTTATAATCTAATGAGATAGATATATATAACACGTGATAATGGATGAAATAAGTGCAATATCAGATAAGGTGGAAATAACAGAGGCCTGCAATGAGTAACAGCTTGGCAACTTTGGTAACAACGAAATCAATGACTCTTCGGTCTTTCTGATTTATACCAACACCCTTTGCTTTTACTGCCCATCGTGTGGAGTGGCTGAATTATGTCTCAACTCACGTGGCCTCCGGTGGATGTTTTGAGTGCCATTGGGTGTTGATGATAAAAGGGATAATGACTTATATGGGTAATCATGTTACAAAATCGTTCAAAAAATAACATTCAAGTTTGGTGTGTCCAAAAAACACCATCAAAGTAAAGAATTTGTACAAAAAATACCAACGAACATTATTTGTTCAAATTTAACCTTGTGTAACCGGCAATTACCGGTAAAAAATAAATAAAGGAAAAACAAACAAGAGGAAATGACTCAAAGAGGTAACTATGTTTCAAAATCGTTCAAAAAACACCATCCAAGTTTGGTATGTTCAAAAAACACCATCCAAGTAAACTTTTTGTACAAAAAACACCAACAAACTATATGTTTTGTTCAAATATTACCGACTGGTAACTGGCTCTTACATGTTAAATGATGACTTGGCTTAACTATAATGACATGGCATAATAATTATTAACAAAACAATAAATGATATATTCCTCCTTTAAAACTCAATTTAGGGTTTCTTCATGGACGAATGACTTCTTCTTCTCCTATGATTGCTCTTCTTCTTCTAAAGTGATGATCTCGAACTCAAGTCCAAAACCCTAATTCTTGACTTAAGGCAAAAATGGCTCCTTTACCCCTCCCTCCCCATAACACTCAAATCCATAAAAAGCCCCAAAAGGCATACAAGCCCAACTATAAGGCCTCTAAGGCCCAGTATGGCCCAAGAACCCCTAACATGGCCTTAAGCCCAAAAAATGACCTGCAACAATTAGGTGGACCTAAGGCCCAACTTAAACAAGTCCATACGTACACCCAACATATGCTGAAGCCTCTCCGATCCGGATTTCAAGCCAGTGTGCATGACGTACTCCTAGCGTACCCCCAACATACTCAGCTAGGGTCAAGAACCACCAATCTTCCTAAGGCCATAACTTATTCATTCCAAGTCTGATTTCGTCATTCTTTAGACCCTCAATATGGTTATCTGATGCCTAAATTAGCTCCCGTGGGTATAAAGAATGATGAAATCGGACTTAGAATGAATAAGTTATGGTCTTTAGAAGATTAGCACTACGCTAGGAGTACACCGGGCGCACTAGTTTGACATCCAAATTGTAGAGGCTTCAACATATGTTAGGCGTATGCATAGACTTGTTTAAGTTAGGCCTCAGGCCCACCTAATTGTAGCAAGTCATTTTTTAGGCTTAAGGTCATGTTGGGGGTTCTTGGGCTATATTGGGCCTTAGAGGCCTTATAGTTGGGCTTGGATGACTTTTAGGGCTTTTATGAGTTTGGGCCTTAGGGGGATAGAGGCCCATTAATGCAGGGGTAAAGGAGTCCATTTTGTCTTAAGTCAAGAATTAGGGTTTTGGACTTGAGTTCGAGATCATCACTTTAGACGAAGAAGAGCAATCATAGGAGAAGAAGAAGTTATTCGTTCATGAAGAAACTCTAAATCAAGTTTTAAAGGAGGAATATATCATTTATAATAATTATTATACCATGTCATAATAGTTAAGCCAAATCATCATTTAACATGTAAGAGCCAGTTACCGGTGGGTAATATTTGAACAAAGCATATAGTTTGTTGGTGTTTTTTGTACAAAAAGTTTACTTGGATGGTGTTTTTTGAGCATACCAAACTTGAATGGTGTTTTTTAAAAGATTTTGAAACATAGTTACCTCTTTGAGTCATTTCCTCATGATAAAACAATAGTTTATTATCTTGTCATGTAAGTTTCGAGTGATAAATTTCATAAAAGGATAAAAAAAAGGCTATAACTATCCCGACCCCCTTCCTACTTATTAATACCCCTAATAATTACTTCTTAATAAGGGAGAATTTCATATATGCCCTTCTTAAACCTCAAAATATCATATTTTCCCTGCTTAATTTGTTAATATCATATTTATCCTTCATAAACCTTCAAAATATCATATTTGCCCAAATCTTTTTTTATAATGTTTTTAATATTTTATAATCATTTTTTATAACTTAAAATTACTATAATAATTAAAAATTTTTAGCGATATTATCCTTACGTCTATGATAATGGAATGTGAACTTCTAAATTGTTGGAATGTCGTCCTCTTAACAAACAAAAATATTCATCTTCAACCTTATCTATGGAATGTATATTTTGATTGTTTAGTTTTTTTTTGTTGATTATGTTGTAGATGAAGAATATTTTAGATATTATCATTGATATTTTGATGTTTTAAAAGTGCATATACGATATTTTGATATTTAAGAAGGGTATATATGATATTATGATGTTTAAAAAGGACATATATGATATTTTGAAATTTTATGAAGGGTAAATATGATATTTAGAAATTTTATAAAGGGTAAATATGATATTTAGAAATTAAGTTGGGTAAATATGATATTTTGATGTTTAAGAAGAGCATATATGAAATTCTCCCTTTTAATAATTAAGCTATAATTATGTATTTTTTATTAATTATTATTACTTTTAAAAATAAAATTTTAGGGTATAAAAACTTGCTGTCTTTTGAACCCTAACAAATGTATTTAGCCACCACAAGAACAAATCCGAATCCGTCGACTTCCGGTGGCTTCAGGAGAATCTGTTGACTTTCTGGTGGCTTCAAGAGATTTCTGGCAAGTTTCTTTGAGCTTCTCTTCCTCTCGTTCTTTGTCCCACAGTGATGGCAGTGGACCAAGCAATTTCTGGTGGCTTCAAAAGATTTTTGACGACTTTTCGGTGGCTTCAAGAGAATCCGTCGACTTTCCGGTGGCTTCAAGAGATTTCCGCCGACCTCAAGCGATTTTCCGGCGAGAGAGGCAACAATTCTGCCGACTTCAGGTGATCTCGGTGACGTTTCAAACTCTTTCCGGCGATGTTTCACGTTTCAGACGACAATTTTTGGCGAGGTTTTATATTTCAGGTGGTTTCCAGTGATGAGAGCTATGCGAATATCTCTTTCTCAGTCTATCTATGTCTCTTTCCTCTATTCTCGGTAGCTATTTTTTTTTTATCGTTCCCTTTCTCCGGCGACTGAAGCACCGTTAGTGTTGGCCGACGGTGGTTAAAGTTAATTGTTCCGGGAAGTCATTACATTTTATCAGATTTGTTTATTGTTTGATAATATTCCTTAATCATTCTTATTTTACTTGTTGTTTATACATGTATTGTGTATTATTGTTTGATTAAGTGGAATAATGATCTTTAATTTACTATGTAATTGTTGGTTGCAGGTTATACGTTGAACATATTTTCAAAGATAAAATCTAGTGTTCAATGGAAAAAGCTGAAATTATAAATTGCACCGTCTTTTATGTATCAATAATGTTTATTGGTTAATAACTCTGAATTTAAAAAGCTGTAAATAAAAAAAGTCAACCACCTAAAAACTAATAATTACACCGGTATGAAGATAAAACAAAGGGTAGGAATAACAGCACCCTAAAAAAAATCTCTTAATCATTATTTAAAATGCAAGGATTTTTATTTTTACTAAAAGCATCTTAAACCTATGTTATCACTTAGAGTTGTTTGACTCATTATTCCATTAAGTTCAAAAAAAAAACTTGTATTGGAGCATTTTTTTTCTATAGCTTGTTACTATAGATTTATTTTTATTTAACACTTAATATCATTGGACTACAAAACTTTTTTTTAATGGTTAATATACTTTCATATTTTGTACATCTAACCCTTCTATTTTAATCATATTTTATGTTATCTTTTAGTTATAATTTAATAATATTTATTTTTTACTAATGAATTGTTTCTATTTAATATTCAATGAATTTTACTTATAAAATATAAATTTAATCACAATTATATAATATTTTCAATATTTTCATTTTATTTTTACAACTATATTTATTTTTCTATTTTAGGTATATGAATAAGGACAAGTTAGGGTAACTAACAAGGAGGTCTTTAATTTAACAACTAACTAGGAGGTTATGGGTTCAATCTCAGACATAGAAGATATTTATATTATTTGCCGTTTAAAAAAAATGTATATAAATAAGGTTCTACATAATTATATTTATTTATACCTTTTTTATTAAAATATGATTTTTGTTTTTAAATAAATGAAAACGAATTAATTAACAACAATTTTAATAATCCTTTGTGCATTCATTTGACAAACAAACTAGGATAGAGACCTTTTAGAGGGGTATGATTAACACATAAAGTCATAAATAAAGCCATTGAAAATGGAGCCAAGCGAACCCCTGGCCAGTGACCCCTTTTCTTCTTTAATCTTCCCAAATCCCAGCCCAACGGAAAGCTCGCCACCACACATTTAATCAGATCAAGAAGCACTGGTTTTCGATTTCAGTTCCATATTCTTACACCTAACCTCAACCTCACAAACACTCTTAGCTCATAACTTCGTTCTTTGATTTTCGAATTGCCATTTAGCGGGATCACTTGACTCGTTTCAATGGGAGACGGTTTGCCCCTTTCTTCTTCCTCGTCGAATTCAAGTAATCAATTTGGTTTAACTGCTTCTTCAACTTTCCAACATCCCTGAAGTTTTGTTTGTGTTCTTCATCTTCTACTTTAGAAAAGTCTTTGACGCATTTCCTCAAACATCTTGATGGCAAGTATGAGTTCTTTGGCATTTGTGACCGATCACACAGCGATTGATAGCGCTGGTCGTTTAGATTATCATCGTCGACCGAAGATCCCTTTGTTCTCATATTATCGACCAAGAAAACCACTTCTTGATACGGCATTTCTATGTAATAATACTAAAATTGTCGGTGGTCGAGGAATATGTAGGGTCAAAGCAACCGGAGAAAATGGTCCCGGTGGGGATGCAACCGGTGATACGGATGAGGCGCTTCAAGTTGTAATTGAGAAATCGAAAAAGCTTTTGGCCAAGCAGAGAGACCTTCTTCAACAGGTATATCCTTTTGATGCAAATTTGAAAATTGTTTTTGTGTCTTACTAGTGTAGTAATCATTCACAACCAAATTGGAAACTGCTGCTAATCTCTTATCCACTGAAAACTCTTATCTTTCTTTGTTAATGCAGATTGCTGAACGAAGGGAAATAATTGCATCAATAAGTAATACTACCAAAATAAAATCTGAGAAAGAAGAAATTTCATCTGAAGACGAGGAGGAAAAATCCTTTCTGGAACTGGATTCTAATATTTCTGATGACATCTACACACTTCAAAATCCATCTACCAGCAAAATTTATGAAATAGATACATCAAAATCCGGAATCAGATCCTTTCAAGATGAAGATTTCAGGAACAAGCTTCATGACACAAATTCAGAGAAAGCGACAACAAATACAAAAGAGTTGCCACCATTTGTTTCTGATATCTCACCCACATTAAAAAAATTCGAAAATACCAATGAATCAACATTACACCATGTAAAAGAACATGTGCCAGATGCTCCCATGGGTGACAATTCAAAATCCCCTCCTTTAGCAGGTCCAAATGTAATGAATATCATATTAGTCGCTGCAGAATGTGCTCCTTGGTCTAAAACAGGTAATACATCAAATCAATGTCCTTTTTCATTTTTTAATCTCATAAACAATTTGTTAAAACTGTTTTTCATAGGTGGTCTTGGAGACGTTGCTGGAGCTTTACCAAAGGCTCTGGCTTATCGTGGGCATAGAGTAATGGTAAGTTCTCTTTCTTCTCTAATCAATAATAAGATTCACCATTTATGTTCATCTGTTAACTTTTCTCATGAACATTTAGGTAGTAGCACCTCGCTATGGAAATTATGCTGATCTTCAAGATACAGGAATTAGGAAGAGGTATTCGGTGAATGGACAGGTAAGGTAAACATGTATTTCAGTATTTCACTCCATACGTTTGCTGCAAATTGGTAATGATAATATGTATATTTTCAGGATATGGAGGTGCATTACTTTCAAACATACATAGATGGTGTGGATTTTGTTTTCATTGAAAGTCACATGTTCAGGAACTTGGGGAGTAATATATATAGTGGAAATCGCACTGTAAGTGCTATACAAGATAATTTTACAGAATTCTCTCAAGTGCGACACTCAATTACGTGTTCCAATTCTCATTTTTGTTGCAGGATATTCTTAGACGCATGGTTTTATTCTGCAAAGCAGCTATCGAGGTATTAATTATGCATAATATATACTCATTAAATTCATGTAATATCGACAATCATGTCACTTACAGGTTCCCTGGCATGTTCCATGTGGTGGGCTCTGCTACGGCGATGGAAACTTGGTATTCATTGCTAACGATTGGCATACTGCACTGTTACCGGTTTACCTCAAAGCATATTATCATGAACATGGATTAATGCAATACGCAAGATCCGTTCTTGTCATTCATAACATCGCTCATCAGGTTAGTAATTAGTAATTAGTTTCATTTCACCTGATTCCCAATTCAGATTCCAATGCTACTCGTTCAACAATGAACATCCTCTTTCTTTCTTAACACCTTCGAGGTGTTCGATAAAATGTCTAAGAGAAACAAAACACGTTTCTTATCAATTTTCAGGGACGTGGGCCTGTAGATGATTTCTCCTACACCGATCTCCCACCGAATTACTTAAATCTTTTCAAAATGTATGATCCAATCGGTGGTGAACACTTCAACATCTTTGCAGCAGGTTTAAAAACCGCATACCAAATCATCACAGTAAGTCACGGATACACATGGGAGCTAAAAACCACCGAAGGAGGTCGCGGCCTCCACAATATAATCAACGAAAACGACTGGAAACTAACCGGAATCGTCAACGGAATCGACAAACAGGAATGGAATCCTGAATCCGACATCCATCTAACTTCCGATAACTACACCAACTACTCCTTAACAACACTCCACACCCACAAGCCGCAATGCAAAGCCGCACTCCAAACCGAACTCGGGCTGCCCGTTCGGGCAGACGTCCCGGTCATCGCGTTCATCGGGAGACTAGACAACCAAAAGGGCGTTGACTTGATAGTAGACGCGATCCCATGGATGGTTGACCAAGATGTACAAGTGGTGATGTTGGGTACGGGTCGACCCGAGCTTGAAAACATGCTAAGGGAAATGGAGGCCCGGTATCGTGACCGGGTCAGGGGTTGGGTCGGGTTTTCAGTCAAGATGGCTCATAGGATAACTGCGGGTGCGGATGTTTTACTAATGCCATCGCGGTTCGAGCCGTGTGGGTTGAACCAGTTGTACGCGATGAGTTATGGGACGGTGCCGGTGGTGCATGGAGTGGGTGGGTTGAAGGATACGGTGCAACAGTTTGACCCGTATAGGGAGACCGGGTTAGGGTGGGTGTTTGACCGGGCGGAGACTGGGTTGTTGATTGAGGCGGTTTGGAATTGTTTGTTGACTTATAGGGAGTATAAGGAGAGTTGGAATGGGATTCAGAGGAGAGGGATGATGCAGGATTTGAGTTGGGGGAATGCTGCGTGTCGATATGAGGAGGTTCTTGTTAAGGCCAAGTATCAATGGTGAAAAAGGGTTAGAGTTTGAGTTTAGTTGTTGTACATTTGCTAGTAAGGTCTTGTTTATATGGTTATACATTTTAACTTGATTAAGACATCGATGATGGAATAAATTTTAACTTTTTAGACTGTAATTGGAATATTTATAGATGTAAACCACAACAATTAGCAAGAGTACAACTTAAGAAGAAAAGGAAACAATATTTTTAGGACTATGTGCACTTAAATGTAGATGATCACAACAAAGTGATTAACTTGATTGTCACGGTGTTCCGACTAATTTGAGATTAAC